CCCGCTCCACATTTAGAATCAACATCACGCGTTTAGAGTATTTGGCTGCTATAAATGTCCACGTGATAAGCCACTTCGTTGAGCTATCATTTGTGGCCAGGTCACTTCTGAAAAAGATCTTCATAACTCAGTGTGGCTTTACCGGGTAAAATACAACATAGTTTCGTTTTTAATCGTTTATATATGCAAAATCACGTGAACGGCTAAATTCCATTCATAGCGATAACATTATTAAAGAGTCATCGAATGCTATAGAAACAAAAGGTATAATAAACAACAACAAAAAGTGATCACGACAGAGGTAGAGAAAATTGTGTACGGTACAAAAAGCTCCTCCTCACGCCAGCAACCAGGCCACTCGGTGACATCCCAGAGGACCATCTCACACAAGCCAAAGAGCTGCAAGCATGACAGCCAATAATATACACATTGTAATGTTTAGGAATTTGGTTTAACAAGGAAGGACAGTGTGCGAAATTAAGAAGTGAGAGGAAGACTCAAGGTGGTAGAAATCACAGAGAAGATGGGAGAGGGAAAAGGCTCTGGGTGTGTTTCGGTCACGTGGAGAGACAACAGGAACATTACGTGGGTCAGAAGGTGGCGAGTGATGCAATTGGAAGGAAAGAGGTCAAGAGGTCAAGAGGAAGGCAGCAGCAGAAAAAGAAGAGATGGGGGGGGGGGGCGATGTAGTGCGATCGGACACGGTGGCCCGAGGAGCGGAAAGAGAGATGGCGCAGGACAGGGCAGCGTGGAGAAAGTTGTACAAAGGCGTGGAAGAAGAAGATTGTCATTTAAATGAATGTGTAGTGACATCGCGGGATTTCACTGTGCAGTGCCGGCCCGAGAGAGGCACGGCGTGCGGTGTAGCGACATCGCGGATACCACAGCGGTGTGGGTGTAGTACCGGCCCTAGAGGGGCTCGGTAAGCGCTGGTTGATAGCGCTGGATGGCATCACGCTCGGCGTGCAGTGCCAGCCCCTACAGGACAGGGTGTGGGAGTGCCGGCCGTAGGAAAGGGGTTACTAAAAGTCATGGCACTCTGGTTGACCCGAGAGGACACGTGACCGGTTAGGCCTACAAAGGGGCCCCAAGTGGAGGCTAGGGGTGGTCACGTGGTCGGGGTCCAGATCCTGCTCGAGGATTCTGGAAGGTGGGCGTGGCCGAGGGCGGAGCCAGCCATGCCACAGAGGATCTAAGCCGGGTCCCCCAGAGGGACCGGCGTTGTTGTTCATCCTGAAGAAACCTTCGTCTATGTTCTACCGAGTCTTCAACACGTGGACCTGGACCCGAGCTGTGGTCACTGCCCGTTGCAGCTAGTTACGTTGTAATTAGTGTAGTTAGCTACACCAGTCACGGAGTAATTAGTGTAGTTAGCCTGGTGGTCCACCACCATAGATTGTTATTCTGTTTAGGGGCAGTTACCTCGTGTGTTGGTGTTAAATAAATGTGTTGCCTCCAAGTGTCCGTCTACGACTCAGTTGAACTCACCACAAATGATTAACCCCCCCCCCCCACTGCTGGTCCTCGCACCTGATTGGCTCACAAAAAAAACTGCTACAACGCAGAGCTTGCTATCAAACGAATTTGCGATTTAAAGATAGAACGCTTCAAGGAAATCATTGGTAGCATTTGCACCCTCGGTTGGTACTGATCGTGCATTTGTGGGCCCATGGCAGGAACTTGAAAAACCAATCGCAGGGGAAGCAATTTCTGAATCCATGAATTCTATTTTCCGGTGTCTCAAGTTTGCCTGCAATCGAGTGATGTTCCCTACAGATTTATAGCAGAATCTTTTTTTTTTTTACCCGTTAAAACATTTACAGATAGTCACTATCATCTTGGGAAATGCAATGTATGCATACATAATTTAAACCATCCTCATCGTCATACTTCTATTGGCTTATTGAACGATGCACGTCCATCACTGCAAAAGCTTGGCAACCGAGGCGGTGCATTTTAAGTGAATAGCAGACAGCGAGGAGATTGTGCACGTGCATGGACAGGGCAAATAATACAAAGAGAATGGGGATCGCAGGCCATTCCTCCATCAATCCATTTCGGCGAACGTGCAGCAACAGGGGAGTGTTGTAAAAAATATGAAATGCTGTATTCTCTCCCTTCTTTTTACAGGTAATGGGAAGAGATGACTCCTGTGTACACAATCTTTGGAAATAATACAAACCTGCAGCGGTAGGCAGTGTGATACATGTATATACACATGGATATATATACATGTACAGTACGTGTACCATCTGGTGCTTTGCCAATGCTAACAGAGCTTGAATAATGTTTACATCTGAAAAATTGTACGAGGTTATTTTAATTAAAATTGTCACCACGACCAGCCAGCCATACGGGACCCGACATGTAATATCAGTTCTTTTGTGAACCGCGTGCATATCCACGCTTAACATGATGCTACCCTACTTGTCTTTGCGTGTTATCAGAGCAATGCTTTCGCGCATTTTACTACAAAAAATACAAAGATCCCCCGTATAGCCTCAACAGACTGTTGGGTCAAGTGCTGTTAGCGAGTAGTACCTGTGAAGGCCGGAACGGCACACGAGGGGGTGAGTGGCCAACACCACGCCCGGCCGCCTTTGTATCCCGAGTAGCGATGTTTTACACACCGCTCCAGGTACTCATTCAAGGCTAAAGTTGACATAGGGGACGCCCAGGATAATTATCACTGGTGTTGTTGGCCGTGAGCTAACTCTCCCCACGCGTGTTTTTATAAAAAAATTTAAACACGCATAAAGTCAACATGAAGATATATTAATGTACATGAGGCCTGTTGGAGCAAGTTGAGTTTTCTACCACATTTGAACGCCAAAATACCGTACACGCCAGCTATTACTTTTGGGCTAATGGGTACAAACGGGACTGCAGAACCTGGGAGAGAACGATTGAGAAACGGCGTGTGCCAGGTAGTCAAAATCGGGAGTAACAAAATAATGGATTCTCAAAATGAAGATCAACAGCTCCGGATAAGGACAATTTACTGAATCGCCCCGGTGGTGGATCTCGTGTACTGGACGTCTGTCACGTAAAAAAAGAGCTTTATAGCTCATCGGATTCCTCCAGGATGACTACAGATCCTCGTTGCGGCGTTCTGCGAGGGGCGAGGGGGGAGGCGAGGGAAAGGGGGGGGCGGTGGCGGTGGCGGGGGCTGGGGGGGGGCTCGTCCTATACAAAAGTGACCGCACTCCAAAAACAATTAGTATCGACTTTCGGTAAAACGCGGCGCGAAAAACATTCATTTCGGGAAGCGCGTGTTGAATGATAAAATCGAGACAGCGAATCGTGGGGGGCCCCGCCAGGCAGAGGCAACTGAGGATGAGTAAAGCGCTGGAGCGCGTCGCCGACTTCAGGACGCGCGAGATGTCACCGGTGGCACTTTATTGTGTGCGCGTGTCACTTAAACGACCCGAGGCTGAGTGGTCGAGGTCACGCGGAGAGAAGCCAGATCGCCTGACGTGCCTTTTTGCCGCTGCTGCATCATCTCCCCACTCGCCGCAGTCACACCCCCACCACACACACACACACCGTGGCCTTTCAACTCCAGACCACCAACGCACGTGTCGGAAAGGGGCCCTTCTCTGCTGTGCGCGACGCCGCGAGGACCTTCCACGTGGCGTGACTCACTCCAGCCCAAAAATACACACGGCGGCGGCAGCAGCAGCAGCGGCATCAGCCGACGCCCGATCGTTTTTTTTTGCAGACGAAATAAGTTTCAGCGTCTCGAGTCGACTACGCGGCGTAACGAGTTTGGTGGTGGTTTTAAAAAAAAATACGTATTATAATTGTCGTCCTTAGTAGCCTCCGTTTTTATTTTTTGACAGCGATATTTCGATGCGATGCGTTTGTTGGGCCACCACCTTGGGCTGTGAAGCGTCAACTGTGGCCTGTCTCCGCTGTCTCCGCTGTCTCCGCTGTCTCCGCTGTCTCCGCTGTCTCCGCTGTCTCCGGCTCGGTGCAATCGAGACCGATTGCGGTGTGGTAAGGCATTATCCACACTTGTCTACACAATTGTCTACAAAACGTTCAATATTGATGCTGTGGCTTGCGGTTCATTACACGGGGAGGGGGGCGGATCAAATAAAACTCAATGCCCCCCCCCACTCCCGCACACCACCCCCCCACCCCCCCGGCCCACCTGCACCACCACCACCGCCCACCACCTCTCAGCGATTTCTCGCCAAATGCCACCTCGCTCCGCGCTATTTTTAAATCAATCGCGAAAGCAACAAGAGGCACGCGGAGCGACTTGAACAAGAGCGAGCCAAGCGGTCGGGGAAACAACAAAAAAACAGAACCGGCTTGCCCAATATCACGCGCACGCACGAGCAGCCAGGCACGCGCAGCCAGGCACGCGCAGCCAGGCACGCGCAGCCAGGCACGAGCAGGCAGGCACGCGCAGCCAGGCACGAGCAGGCAGGCACGAGCAGCCAGGCACGAGCAGCCAGGCACGAGCAGCCAGACACGCGGAGCCAGGCACGCGCAACCAGGCACGAGCAGGCAGGCACGCGCAGCCAGGCACGCGCAGCCAGACACGCGCAGCCAGGCACGCGCAGCCAGACATGCGCAGCCAGGCACGCGCAGCCAGGCACGAGCAGGCAGGCACGAGCAGCCAGGCACGAGCAGCCAGGCACGAGCAGCCAGACACGCGGAGCCAGGCACGCGCAGCCAGGCACGAGCAGGCAGGCACGCGCAGCCAGGCACGCGCAGCCAGGCACGAGCAGGCAGGCACGAGCAGGCAGGCACGCGCAGCCAGGCACGAGCAGCCAGGCACGCGCAGCCAGGCACGCAACATCTTGATTTTATATCTTTCCCGGGGAAATAAAAACGAGCAACACACGCGCTACGATTTCCTTTTGTCTTTGCCTCATCCTTTCCCTTCTCTGCCACCCGTCAAGCCCTCCTCCCTCCCCCCCCCCAACCACTCTCCCGAGTCCTCTCCACTCCTCCTCTCGCCGCCCGCTCGGCCGATGCTCCCGGGTTGCCTCGACTGCACCAAGCACCGTGGCGGTGGCAGCGGCGGTGATTGCTTTTGCGCTCTCCAGCTCCGAATCATTTTACCCCCACCCCCTCCTCCCCCGGGGGGGGGGGGCTGGTCAGAGACGCTTCTGTGGCTGGAAAGCACTGACGTCGAGCCACCACACGCCGCACGGGCACACGGGCGCGCGCCCTCCCTCCCCTCCTCTGCTCCCCTCCCTCTCGCCCGCCTGCGCCTTGCTCCGCACGCGCATTCGCTCGCGCTCCGTCACAGCGAGCGAGCGAGCGATCGAACCCCGGGCCGTGCGCAGTGTGGCACCCGTCGTTGGTGCGATTCCCGCTCCGCTTTCCAGCCCTCGTTGGCTCGCAGAGGTACGCCACCATCTGGGACTTCCCCGATCCCACACATACACCCCCCCTCCATCACTCCATCACCCCATCACCGACACCCGCGTGCCGTCCTGCACCGTCCGCTCGTCGCGGCGCCGCCAAACTCAGCGCCGCTCGCGCGTAGTCGATGGGGCGCAGCCGCCTGGCTAAAGGGAGCAGACGCCTCTCGGGAGACAGAGGGAGACGGAGGGAGGGAGAGAGAGAGAGAGAGCGAGATTGCTGTTGGCAATGATTTTTTTGTCGTTTCTTAAATGGCGCTTTTTTTACGTGCATCGCATTAAGCGCAGAAAGTGTGCGTCTGCGTGAGAGTGCGGGGTGCCCGTGCCACGGACGCGAGGGATACCCCTGGCACGGGGGGTGTTGGGGGGGGTGGCACCTCTTCTGCGCGCCGAGGGGTCACTCCGCGTGCCGAGGGCTACCGTGCGGATTTTGCGTTCCGCGGCATTAGATAACGAGGTGCGGCTACACTTTAGAAAAGAGGTGTCGTTTAAGAACGCGCTCGTCAATAAGCGGTTAGCGCGACGCCGCGCTACGAACCTGGCGAACCCGGGTTCGATACGCGCTCACCAGTGACGATTTTAACTGAATCGGTCCTGGGCGCCCCTCTCCCTAGGTCGACTCAGCCTCAAATGAGTACCTGGCGCGGTGTGTAAACATCACTACTGTGGAGACAAAGGCGGCCGGGCGTGGTGTTGGCCACCCATCCCCTCGTGTACCGTGCCTGCCTTCGTAGGTGCCACTAGCTAACAGCACTTGCCCCTAAAATCTGTTAAGGCTATACGGGGTATCTTTGTTGTTTTCTTTGTATATGTGTGAGTCCGCGTGTTAAACTGACAACGTGGTGAACTGCATTTCGGTGGCAAGATGTTAACTCCCTCGCCTGGCATGCAGGAGTGCGTGGGTTCGATCCTGACCCTGACGCCTGCTGCTGTATATTTGGAGTTTGCGTGTCTCCCTTTCTCCCCGTGGTCTCGTGGGGTTTTCCCCAGGGTCCTCCGGATTTTCCCTCCACATTTAGAATCAACATCACCTGTTTCGAGCATTTAGCTGCTCTACGTTTACACCAGATAAGCCCACTTCGTTCGGCTATCAATTGTGGTCAGCTCGCTTAAAGAGCTGTCCTGTATAGCTCAGCGGGGCCTTACCTGGTAAAATAAAATAAAAAGTTGTATTTTTTGTGGCCAGGCAGGTTGACACCTCGGGTTGAGGTTCCTTCCACGTGAACCACCGCAATGTCCACATAAACAGAGCGCATCTTATCCGTTATCCTGTTACCCGCCACTCCGAGAGAAGTCGTCGTTGGGTCTGCGGGAGAAAACACACTTCCCACGTCCAATTATCCACCATTCTCCACGACTTTTCCCACCAGTTCATTTGCGGAACGGCTTCCAATCACGCGCATTACAGAAGTTACCCTGTAATCGGCTTTTGTATCGATTAGGTGGGCTGGTGAATAGTTGCACCCACAGAATTCAGAGACAAAATACTTTTTGTTTTTAAACCCCGTGCGCTTTGTGTATTGCGTAGTTAAAATCAGCGACTCGAAACGACGAAATAACCGAGGCAACTGCGGATTAATAATAACATTTAAATATATATAACTTTAAACTCCAAAGCAAACAATGGCACACGTGGCAAAGTGCTTGGCTAGGTGTGCGGCAGTGTTGACAGTTGAAACGGTAAATAAAGGAGTGGCTGCAGTAGATGTGTGTGTTGGGAGTGTATATGTACTGTGTAGTATGCGCGCGTGTGTGTGTGTGGGGAGTGTAGCGGTTAGGGCACTGCGCTATGAACCCGGCGACCCGAGTTCGCGTCCCGCTCACGGCCAACACCAGTGACGATTCTTTTGAACCGATGCTGAGCCTACCCTAGGTCGACTCAGCCTTAAATGAGTGTTTGTTGCGGTGTGTAAACATCACCACTGGTGAGACAAAGGCGGCCGGGGGTGGTGCTGGCCACTCACCCCCTCGTTCCGGCCTTCATAGGTGCTCGCTAACGGCACTTGCCCAAACAATCTGTGAAGGCTACACGGGGGATCTTTGTCTTATTTGGAGCGGTAATGCGGCGGCTTCGCGTGCCGCGCTACGAACCCGGTGACCTGCGCTCGATTCCCGCTCACGGCTAACATCGGTAGTGAATGTGTGAACCGGTCCTAGGCCTCCCCCCACCCTCTGGGTCGACTCGGCATCAAATGATTCCCTGGAACTTCCGTAGCGCGGGAGAGGTGGCACCGTTGCCTTTCTCAGCGCTCCCACCTGGGGATGTCTTCGTCTCGTCACACGGGACGCCCGAGAACCACGATCGCAAGAGACTTGTGGAATAAAAAAGGAGTAAAAAAAAACCCCGCCATAAATCTGGCGCGTTCGACGCACGCGCACACACACACACAAAGCTAAAGATCACCCGTATAGCCTTAACAGACTGTAGGGGCAAGTGCTGTTAGCGAGCACCTATGAAGGCCGAAACGGTACACGAGGGGGTGGGTGGGTGGCCAGCACCACGCCCGACCGCCTTTGTCTCCCCAGTGGCGATGTTTACACACCGCACCAGGTACTCATTTGAGGCTGAGTCGACCTAGGGGAGGCCCAGGACCGGTTCAGATAATCGTCACTGGTGTTGGCCGTGAGCGGGAATCGAACTCGGGTCGCCAGATTCGTAGCGCAGCGCGCAAACCGCTCCACTACCGCTCCCCACACTCACATACACACGCGCACACACACACATACACACGCACACATACACACGCGCACACACACACGCGCACACACACATACGCGTACAAGTGCCCGCGTGTCAAACACGGACACGACTGCGCTAAAAATAAAATGCGCCACGGTTGCACGCATCTCTCTAGGATTGTTTACGTACTGTAATTTTACGCGAACGTTTATATTTATATATTTTATTTATATAGATTTTTTTGTTTAAAATATTTATATATTATATTTTTTATATATTACATGTAAAGTGCCATGCCGAGGTGGCTCTGAAAGGCGTTCACGGCTCAGTCACCAAGCCGAGTTGGGCCCCTTCCAACAACGAAATGGAGGAGGAGGACACGATGGGTACCCGTTGCTTAGGAATGTGGTAACGAACACTAAACTAAACTTTATTTTATTTACCAGGTAAGGCCCACTGAGCTGTGCAGTCCTTTTTCAGAAGCGACCCCGTCACAAATGATGGCTCAACGAAGCGGGCTTGTCCCGTGGAGATTTATAGCAGCCAAATAATCTAAACGCGTGATGTTGATTCTAAATGTGTAGGGGGGGAAAAACCCGGAGAACCCGGAGACGAATCCACGCGACCACGGGGAGAGGAACATGCAAACTCCAAATATACAACAGGTGTCAGGGTTTGAGATTGAACTCACGACCTCCTGTATACCAGGCGAGATTGTTAACATCTCGCCCCCGCGGTGCCCCTGGATGTAAGCGAGACACATCATCCTTCTGAGCAAGGAAGTGAGAGATTGGTGTCGAACCAGCCCGGTCAATTATTTCAGATACTAAAACCGTCCTCCGGCGCTCCGTCTCCAAGCAAGAGGTCCTGGGAGTTAAACGGTGGCGATAGGGGCGACAGAAAATGAATTTTTGATATACTCTTTGGTGACAGACAGAGCCACTCTTCTGATTATTAGATCGTTAGAAACATTTTAATATTTTAACACGTAAAGAGAGGAATTACTGGAAATACACAATCGAATCACATGTGTACGACAAAATCAGCTTGCAGTCATCCCATGGCAGGACAAAGAACTGAGATGAGAAATCGCTGCCACATGCTGTATCATTCTGCGTACAATGTTGCTCAGCAGTGCAGCTCAGAATCCACATTATAACGGGCGCGTGCCGTGTTATAACGGGCGCATACCGCGTCACAACGAGTGCGTACCGCATTATAACTGTGTTATAACAGGCGCATATCGCGTTATAATGGGCGCGTACCGCGTTATAACGGGCGCAATGGCCTCCTGTTCCTCACAGGCCAGCGGGAGGTCACGAGGACGACTACAAACTCGGCAAAGTGAGAACGTGAATAACATTTTTTAAAATTATATTCTTCACAGACGCACATATCCCAGGGGCACTACCAGGGGTAAAATCTCACAGGATAACATATAGTATTGCTTTCTGCACCACGAGGCTACGAGAAGATACGGATTTTGAATCAATAAAGAATGTTTACAACTCGGACGATCATACAAGGGATTAAACAGAGTGCGTGACTGCCACGGTTATAATTTTGTTTTACAAAAAAAATTATCCCGTAAGTCCTTCCACTGAACTCTTGTGTGTGGCAATCTGTTCAGGAGCTCGCTGCCAATGTCGAGGTCCTGCTGCTGCTGGCCACGACGAGAGGGCTTCAGCAGAGAGAGAGAGCGTTTCTGTTTCGCTCTTCCTCCTCCTCGTCCGTTGATAGAGCGGAGACCACAGTGGGACTCCTATTGTCCATAGTTTGGGTTTCATGGCAACAATCACACTACTTTGACTTATCATTAACGTGTCTCTATAGGTATCTGTGTATCTCTATGGCCTATGGCTTTACTATCTTGTCCGTAGTTTGAGTTGCGTGGCCGCAATCGCACGACTGTGGCCACAATCAATGCGTCCTTGAAGTGACACGGATGCTGCCATGGTGTGACGGTTGGCGCGCTGGAGGTCACCGGGTTCAATTCGATCTCCGGGTGCGGCGGTCGAAACGACGGCGCAAGTGCCTTCAATCCTCCGCGCCGCTGATGCAGCGTGCACTGATTGGTCCACCACATTTGGCTGAAGGGCAGGTCGCGTGCGTGGTGGTGGGGTGTATGTTTCTTGATCTGGAGGGGTATCACGGTGGCGAGATGTTAACTACCTCGCCTGGTATGATGGAGGTCGTGGGTTCGATCCCGACACTGGCCCTTGTGTCGATTTAAAGCTTTCGTGACTGCAAGGATTCATCTTCTTTGGTTATTTCGGTAAAGTCACGTAGAATGAGAATAAAAT